GCAGATTTAGCTGTCGCTAACATTCTTGACATTGAACGAGCATTATATAAAGCACTACCATTTGAAAGGTATGCATTAGACTTTTTTAAATTTTTAATTAACATGTTCACTACCAGTATCACATATTTATAATGCACCAGTTTCTATTGAGAGCCCGGTATCACACATAATGAACCTGAAATAACTTCTTAGCTACAATTGGAATCTTTTTTCTGTTGTATAGTAGTAAACGTGCTAAATTAATTAATTAATTTATGCTAAATTATCTTAATACTTATATGCATATATCATTATTATTACAGTGAAAAGGAACACGATGGAGAACATGAATTGGAAGCTATTACTAGAAATAAAATGAGAACTGTATTCGTTACAGGAAAAGATGGTCTTACACCTCATCAAGCTGCTATTTTATTAGTCGAAGAAGCTAGAATATTAATTCAGGTTAATTAACATGAGGATTATGAATAATAGATATAAAATTTCCTTTACTTATTTTGTAATCAAATATTTTATATTATTTTTTACAGAATGAATTAGGTTTACAAAATATGCCATGGTCGAATAATAATAGCATGGTCACTGATACTATATCTAACAGTAATAATCAATCTAATTTATCGAAAGATATTGCTGTAGAAAATGATAATACAAATAAGAAGATAAATTACACGAATATGTCAGAAAAAAGAATGGAAGATATAGATAAAAGTAAAAAGAATTCTTCTTGCATTAATTCAGGCGTAGATGTCTCGTCACTGCATAAACAAAATGAGATTACGGAACATATTAACATCATCAATAAAAATTTAGAAAATAAATCGCATTGCTCGAAAGATTTAAATACTGATTTTGAAAGTAAACAAGACACCGAGTCATTAATTACTTTCGATGGAAAAAGAATTGACGAAGAAAATGATACTAATGATAATAATTTATTAATGCATTGTAAAGATGAAAATCTAAGCGAATCTGAAAAAATTATGAAATATTCTGCTTCAAGAAGTCCCAGTTTATTCGATGAAAGTTTAAATCTTGACACACAATTGTACAATGCACTTGAAGAAAATATCGTCGGTACTTTACATTTCTCTTCATATATAAGCATTAACGTAACACCTAATAAAGTGAAAAATGAAACAAGTACGAAGAGTTCAAACAAGTTATTAAATCATGAAGTCAAAAATAATTTGCCAATGGCAGAATCAAATTCAAATGAAAAGATTGTATCGCACAAACCTTCTTCTTCTGGTACGCAAATAAAAGATGCAATGATAACATGGAATGATGATTCCTGGAACGAATCTAAATTATTGAAAAAAATTAGTGAATTAAATAAAGAGAATATAGAAGTTTTAAATAACAGTATCAGCAATATGAAAAATATAAAAAACGTATCAGAAAATAATGACGAAAAAAATGATATAGAATCTTGCAATCATATTGTCGGACAAGATGTTAACAAAATATCATGTAACTACAATTTACGAAGACTTCATGATAAAAAATCTTCTATAGCAAAGGAAACAACTTTAACTTTTGATCGTAAAATATCATTAAATTCTAATAATTCGGATGTCATAATGGGTTCCCCAACAGAAGTTGAAACAAAATTAAAATTAAAGAAGACACAGAAAATCCCTGTTAAAGTTTATAGAGATAAATTACCTAAATCTGCAACTTCAAGCAATGTTTACAAAAATATTACAAAGACTACCAATAGTAAGATAATAAATAAAAATAAACCAAAATTAAAACAATTATTAGAACGAAACATTCTTCTTGGTGCAAATTACAGTTCGGATAGCATCGTATCAAACTCGGATGAAGAAACACCGATTAAAAAATCCAAAATAATTAGAGGATGTAAAACATCTTTACCGGTTATTAAAACAAGTTCATCGCATGTCCAACAAATTAAATCAGATGTACAAATCAATTTATGTTCTCACAAAATAGAGCATATAGATGAAAATATTGATTGGAATATATTAAATATTGTTAAAGTTGGAAGCGACAGAGCGACCTTTAATTTATTTAAACGTGAAATTATGAAGAATAAAAGTATCGCGTTGGCTTTACATTGCGAATCTTACGTAAACGAATGTAACAGTATAGGAAATAAAATTATTAATTCCACTACCGACGTTAAAAACAGATCAAGAAAAATTGAACAATTCATCGCTGAGGATAAAAAAATTTGTGGCGCCGCTATTTCTTGGGAAAAAAATATTGCATATTATATTTCATTTTGCGAAATGAAAGGTATTGTCTTGTTTCTTTTGAAAAAACAATTCTTTTCTAGTTATTTTATATTTATTTTATACTCATTATATACAAAACTAATTTATTTTATGTTACAGATTTAAAAGTATCGATTAAAGAACAAATAAATTTCTTTAAAGAATTACTTTCTAATACATCATTGTATATAAGATGTTTTTCAACCAAGAAGTTGTATAAAACACTGTATCAATGTTTCCAAGTAGCAGCCACTTGTAGATTTCTAGATCCTTATACTGCGAATTGGTTGCTACATGGTAGTATTTCTGAAAAAAAGTGGAATGAGATGGTAAAATATAATTTAATTCTCTTTCCTCTCAAAAAAGAATGTGTAATATGTTCGTTACCAGTGTCACTGCCAGTAGACGATGGTTGAGATCTCTTTTTCGTGGCACGGTAGCGAACGTGTTAAGAAGAAATTTGAAAGAAAATATATTTAATAGGTGTTGGAGTATTTTCCTTTAGGATCCTTCATAGTGAAACACTTCGATGCTAAAACAAACGTAAAAAATAAATTACCATTGGAATTTAAAGCATCCACTAAAGCTGTTCTTACATGGCACGTTATGGAAACATTATTAAACAAATTGGAAGAACTCTGTCCAATATTACTTTATACATTTAAAGGTAAAATATTAGATTGTCCCATAAGTACTTTCCGCACCACACTATGTATGACTTCGAGCCGACTATGTTTGTAGACACGTAGGCTTATCTATTTTCCATTTATGGCATCAATTTCAGTCGTCCTATAGCTCTTTCAAAGTACATTTCGTTGGTGACAAAGTTTTATGGGAAAGAACTTATAGGACAAGCTAATATTTGATTTTTAATGTTGTAAAAATATATAATAAAATTGGATATATTTTCAGAAATCGAGATGAGATCTATTACACTGTTAGCTCGCATGGAATTAACGGGATTTGGTATAAATTTAAAATCTTTGCAAGAATTGTCACACGTTATAGAAGTTGAAATGTCTTCTTTGGAAGAACGTGCGTTTTCTTTAACGGGACGAAAATTTAATTTTTCATCGTCCAAAGAAGTCAGCCAGGTTCATATAAATATCATTGATTTATTATCGCACATGTGATTTAAATTATAAATAATATATTTTTGACATAGATTTTGGGATTATATAAAGGGAAAAAAATAAGTACCAATAAAGCAGTTTTAGCACAAAATAATAATCCAATCTCAAGCCTTATTATTTCTTGGCGTAAATTAAACACAACTCAAACCAAGGTAAATATACGATTCACTTAACATTATATATATCTTTTCACAAAATATTATATACTTTGTTAAGCACGATTGGAATTTTTTGATAGATCGTTTATCCGTTGTTAAGTCTTGGCCAAAATAGTTCAAGAATTTATGGGGATTCTGAAACTTTCACATTGACTGGAAGAATTTCTATGCACGAACCTAACTTGCAAAACGTACCTAAAGATTTCAATTCAGAAGATAATAGTTTTGTAATAAGCGTTCGTATGGCATTTATACCAATTGAAGGAAACGTTCTATTATCGGCAGATTATTGTCAACTTGAATTAAGAATATTAGCTCATTTTTCGAAAGATCCGATACTTTGTAATATTCTATGCAAGGAAGGTGATATTTTTAAAAATATTGCTGCTACATGGAACAATGTATCGGAAGATCAGGTATAATTAATATAAATTATTTGCTTTATTTTTTACATAAAAACAATTATCTACAATCGTTGATATTATTTGTATGTTTAGATCGATGATAATATGCGACAAAATACTAAACAATTGTGCTATGGTATGATTTACGGTATGGGTGTCAAAACGTTAGCAGAAAATTTAAAATTAACGGAAACAGAAGCTAAAACATTTTTAGAATCTTTCATAAATGCATACCCAGGCATAAACAAATGGCTTAAAAATGTTAATTTAGAAGCGCATAAAAATGGATACATTACGACACTAATGGAAAGACGTAGAATGCTTCCTGGTTTAAAAAGTACTAATCTCTATGAAAAAGGTGAGTTTACGAATGATCAAGATTGTTTAATTTACAAGAATATTATAAAGATTAAATATATTTTAGCGCAAGCGGAAAGACAAGCAGTGAATACTAAAGTACAAGGTTCTGCAGCAGACATAGCAAAACAAGCTATGATTAACATAGAAGATAGAATACGAAACGAATTTCCAAACTCAGCGATTGTCATACCAAAGACAGGAATTAAACAAAAATTAAGAAAACAGCGAAAGGATGAAAATTTAAGAGGTGCTTATTTAGTACTACAACTTCATGATGAGTTATTGTACGAGGTAAGAATGATTAGGCTCATATATTATTAATTTAAGAAAACTTAATACAAATTATTTTCATTCAAATTTTAATTTGATTTCAGGTGAATATAATGGATTTACAAAAAGTAGCTTTAATAATTAAAGAATCCATGGAACAAGTATGTCAACTTGCAGTACCATTACCAGTAAAAATAAAAGTCGGACCTGCATGGGGTGATCTGAAGGAGTATCATATTTAATCTTTTAGCTACTATAAAGATATTTTTTTATAATAATTTTTGATACCTCAATATCCATGAAAGCTACTATAGTAGCGTGCAGTGTCTGAGAGGTAAATTATTAATAATTATCCAATGCGATAATTAATAAGATAAAATAAGATTTTATATAGTAAGATAAATTTTATTACACAACTAAAGTTAAACGACAATCAATTATTAATGTTTCTTTTATTTTTAACTTATTTATAAATATTATATGGAAATTATTTTATTTAATCATGAAATTGAAAATCATATTTACAGCATGAATGTTTCGAATATAAAAAAATATTATATACCACATTGTTATACACTAGGATTGATGAAAATTTAATTAGAATATTATCTATATACTTTTAATATATCAAAATTGAAATAAATCATATATTATAAAATATATTTGCTGACGCAGGAATATAAAAGTATTTCAAATGTAATTAATTATATCGTATCGCAGGGTGGTGCTAACGATTGATGTAATTTCATTACAGCTGTTTGTACTATTTGTTGGAAAGTCTCATCATCTTTGCTGGTAACTTCTAAGTTTAATAAATCTATATGCGCCTTTTTACCATCGACGGTTACATATAACTTTTCTCCTTTGAAAATTTTAGGAACAGAGTCTTCTCCAAACATTTCCTGCAACATTTCAATAAGACATTCTTTGAAATGCATCCTATCCATTTTAGTTGGCGCGGGTAACATTTTAGGAGGTTGTTCCATCATCTCGGCTTGCAATATTGCAGTCAAAACAGAGTCAGCGTACATGTCGTTAACTGGAGTTGCTATCCATTCCATCATAACAATTTTACCATCGATGGTTACATCGATGTTTTTAAAGACTCTTAATTTTTTATCATCTATAACTTCCAAATTACCAGCTATTTGTGTTAAGAGATGCTTTAATACAGGTAACGAAGCGGAGAAATAAACGCTTTGCCTTTGGATAACTTGACTCATACTCATATCTGTATACTTCGATAAATCGCAAGGAGCTAACATATGATAATTAAAATTACGTTTAACCAAAACACCAGATAATTTTTGTCCTGGATTAGGTGTTTCCATCGCCAACGTGCCCATAACTTTAGCAGTCTTTTCTCCTCTGAAATATAACTCTACGGCAACCGTATTTCTGGGATTATGAATTTCCATAGTAGTGTTCGGATCATCTTCATATTCTCTTTGCAGAGCAGCCTTTAATCTTCCCATTTCATTCTGTTCTCCGTGTACGAGTACTACATGTGGTGGTTTCAAAATACGTATAAATTCTGATGTTTGTTGATAATCGGTATGAGCAGAAAATGATATGTAATCTACAGACATTTTTAATTGTAATTTTTGTCCAGACATTGTTGTAATTTCTTCTGGTTCAGATAAAATAGTTTTAGCTAGTGTACCCTCTACGCAGTAACCAGCTATTATAACACCATTCTTAGCATCGGTACACCAAGATTCAAATAATTCTCTTGACAAACCACTTTGCATCATACCCGGAGATGCCATAACTACGCATGGTCCAATATCCTCAAAATGGTCTATACCCTTTAAATTAGAAATGTGTTTGAATACAAAAGGATTATTGATAGCAATCTGTCGTCTAATTTTATCGTTCATTGCATTAACGTATGTTTGATAAACGGCCATACATTTTTTGGCCAAAGAAGATGCATAATAAATTGGAATTTCATGTAATTCAGGATGTTGACTCCAATATTCGTCCAAAATAAGAAGAAGTTCTTGTGCTCTTCCTAATGCAAAGACTGGTATCAAACATCTACCACCACGATTGACTATCTCGTGAACTAGATTAGTAAATCTTCCTTCTCTGTCTTCTCTCTTCTCGTGAATATGCGTTCCATAGGTAGACTCAGTTATCAATACATCTGGATGAATATTTGGTATTTCAGCAGCCATTAAATGCCTGTCCTCTTGACGACTAAAATCTCCAGTATATAAAATTTTAACACCAGCTATTTCAATCATAAACATAGCAGCACCTAATACATGTCCAGCATTGTATGCCCAAAACTTTATACCAAAGACATCTTTTTCTTCATGAAAATTAATAGTTTCTATTTTATCCATACTAGTTTCTAAATCTGATTCGGTGTACAACATTTGTTCGGTAGCAATGTTACTAACTTTGATATAGTCAGATAAAAGCCAACGATAAATCGCTTTAGTTGCATGCGTCATGAAACAACGTCCCTTAAAACTTGTTTTTTGCAGAAACCATGGTAATGCACCGCAATGGTCCAAATGAAAATGTGAGATTAATAATAGATCTATTTCATCTGCTTCTACTAAATCTACAAATGGTAGAGCATCCATACCTGATAATCCTGGATGTATACCACAATCCAACATTATTTTTTTTCCTTTAAATTCCAACATAATACATGATCTCCCAACCTCTTGGCCAGCACCAAGTGGCCGAATTGAAAGTAAATCACTTTCCTCTGCCGGTACTTGTGTTTCAGGCTTCCTTTTTGTAGTCATTTTTTTTTTGAATTATTTTTATCGTTTAATTTACAATATTTTAATTATTTCTAAAAAAAATAGAAAAACATTTTTTTAAGATGATACAAGCATTTTAGGTTAGGTCTAACAAAGACCATTAATAATCTAACCTAATAGATTGGAAACTTTTGCCGGTTAGTACGTCACTATTTTGAAATTGATTTTCGCGCCATTAGTCGAGTTTTGTAATGGTAGTAGATTTGAATTTTATTTGAAAAGGAAAACGTAAAATATAAACAATAGAACGTACCTTAATAATTTCTTCTCTCCATACAGGTAGTTATTATTAACATAATCTAATTTAATTTTTTGATTTCTTTTTATAAACCTCTTTAATATAATATTAAGTTAAGTTAAATTAAGTTTAATGTAATAATATTAATGTCATTTTTATTTAACACGTTTGTTAAGTTGTTCCATAATAATTTATACAACATAACCTTAAAAAATGACATTAATTATTACTGGATCTGTGATAAATACTAAAATATATAAAGTATAATAAAGCAAAAGAAATATTTATATCAAATGTACTTAAAGTTTCAAATTATTTCAAAATAATAAAAATAAGAGGTACTCATGTTTAAATCTCTACATAAATACTAATTTGATATTATATTGTCACAACGCACTTATAAAATATGATTCGTTTAGCACATAAAAGTTATTAAATTAAATTAAACAGTTCTATTTAATTTCCATATGAATGATTTCAAAATATGATAACGTTGGCTTATTTTTTTTAAACAAAACTATATTACACAATCAATATTTAGCTTTATTGCATTATTATTGTAGACGTTCATGAAAATATAATAGCGAAACATGAGATCATCAATTTTCTTCTTAAAATCTAATGGTATCTTGTGTCTAATATTTTTTTGTTTGTTTGTTAAACTGTTGTGAAAAATTATGAACAATGTTAACTTCATCATCATTTTTTTTTAAAACTTATAATTATATTTTCAAATGTAAACATGGGATATATTTCTAACATATTGATTAATGAAAAAATTAAAAAAGAACAAGAAAAGAAAACAAAAAAAAGCAAAAAGAAAAACTTATTTAAAAAAGTACCTCAATATACATCATTTTTATTAAGGTATACACATGCTGATTTATTATTTTTTTACGATAATGATTAGTCTATTTTTATGTTCACGCTTTTATCGTGAACAAATTACGATATTCAATTGGCCCTACTATAAAATAGAATTAATATACATATTTACATTATATACACATAGTATTCGTTGGGAATACATATTTTAACTAAACAATTGCACACTTGGACGTCGATGTTGGTTGTTGTACAGGTGGGTTATTTTTTTTTTTTTTTTTTTTTTTTTTTTTTTTTTTTTGTCAAGTATTCACATATTATATTTGTACATATAATAGCTTTTAAAAGATATCTTTTTTTTCATAATTATTATTATTATTTTGCCTGTACAAGTATAAAATCACATATTCAAGCATGTCGAATCAAATTTATATACCTAAACATTTAATAACATTAAAAATTACATGTGCAATAAATTGAAATAACAAAGTAATCGATAAGAATTTAATAATAACATAAATTAACATTTATATTTGAATTAAATTTATGCATAATTATGCTTGCATTTAAAATCTTTTATAATCTGAGGTCATTATTATTATTATTATTAATAATTTATTTAATAAAGTTTATATATATATATCCAACGTAACATAATACATAATATATAAAATTTTGAATTCCATATTTTGTTGTTAGTTTTCGTTAATTTGATAACATCATACAATGACAATATGCACTATTCAATTGGCAGTGCAATTAACAGTAGAAATTAGAATGAATAGATTTGACAGTATCTATTTTGTTTATTCTTATAATGTTTGATATATGTATTCATTCAAATAACTTGGAATTTCATTGCTCTGTATTACTCTCTCTCTTTTTCTCTCTGTCCCTCTTTTTTCTTTTTCTCTTTTTTCTTTGATAGAAATGATTAAAATCATCTAAATGACATACTTCGCAGAGCAATATATATGGTAATTCTATTGTGAAAATGATTTGAAATATACATTTAACTTTGAGGGGGGCAGCAAAATTGGAGAGATATGCAATATTTAATATACATGCGATTATACATATATATATACATATATATATATATAATTATGATTGAATAATATTTGTATCAGAGAGTAATACAAAGAACCAACATCGATCAGTCTTGGAATTAGAATTACCAATAAAAAATCACCTTTATATGTTGCAAAATATATAAATATAGAAGAATAACAACTAAGATTCATATATATCGTATATGATAGTCTGTTTAATGATAATTAACTAATAAGCCCTTTTTTGCGCAATGAACAGAGAGCGCAATTATTAAACGCGGGCTATCTGTCTCACTTATTACAATTGGGGCCACCGACGACGATGCGCAAACTTCAACGTGCACACTTTCATGAAAAATAGTCATCGTAAAAAAATTACTTACAACGATCGACACGTAAAAGAGTTTAATATTTGTTTTGTTATTTTTCTTTTTTTTTTTCTTTTTACGTAATAATTAATTATCGGTTAATTGTATTTTTTATGAAATAGGTAATAACTATTAGTTGGCAAACGCGATTCATCTGTAGCCTTTTCTTTCATTAAAAGGAACTACTTGAGGCTTTGAGACACAATTATTAGTCAATCTTTCTTTCTTTTTTCTTTTCTTTTCTCTTTCAGAAAACAAACTTCTTTATCCTATGATATATATAATATATATATCATAATATATAATATATTTCATATAAAACTATTG